AAAATAATTATAATCTTTATAATTTTTAACGTTTATATTAAATATAACATTAAATATAACATTTTAAAATAAAGCATGTAAATAAAATAAATAATTATTATAAAATCTGTTTTTATTTAGAGACATTATTTTCAATAAATTTCAAGTTTCTTCTACTTTTAACAGTGCGTTTTTTATTTTTCATAGCTTTTTCCAGTAAAAAAAAATGAAATGTAAAATATTTCTCAAATCAGAGCAAATATATAAGCAAAAAACTATAAGTAGAAAGTATAAGTAGAAAATATAAGTAGAACAAATATATAAATTGGTCCGTTTTACCCCATTTAAATTGGTCCATTTTACCCCACATAACAACATTAATATTATCTTATTTTTATTTACCTGTATCAAAATTATTTTTTAAATGTAACTGATGAAATATTACTTCTAAATAACCAGAAATATGGAACTTGTAGAAAAATTTAAAAATTTTAAGTTTTGCAATCTTAGTCACTTAAAATGTAATACTAAGAAATTAGATCACGAGATCTATTTGCAAGAATTTGACGTTTCTTTATAAATAACTTACGATAGTCTTATGATATAATGACGTAATTTTTAAACAGTTAAAAAGCATCAAAAGGAAATTAATTTTATGTTTATCCAGCAGATAGAGGTACGTACTAATAAGATCTAGCAAATGGACCATTTTACCCCGCGGTCCGTCTTACTCCACCTTCCCCTATTACATATGTATGTGTATTACATACGTTGTACATGCAATATGATATTGTAAGCTACTCGTAAAATTAATCAGGAAACAATCTATAAAAGACCCGGAAAAAATTACGAAGCTGACCAGGATTTGAACTCGGGATTTGAGCATTTAGCTTTCTGTCCCACGACAGCTCCACTTCTCTTACAATTGTTCTGATTCCCCAACTGTTTCTAATCTAAGTTAATTCATTAATGCTTCACAGTTCTATAAATTCTAAAGATTCTTACAATACAAACTTTTGCACTATGTATCTTCAATAAAGTCTTGATCCATCTTGTAAAACTTTTCCGTACATTCAGATGGTACCTCTACTTCCTTTAAATTATCTACCCCAATTTCTTCCTCGGTTCTGTAACAATGAATATATTACATATAAATTTCTGTTATACAAAACAAGAACATGATTAACTTAGAGAGTAATTAATTATTTACTTTATCAAAATATCAATAACATTTTCACAGGCTAGTAAACATTTGTTATCCTTCTCCCATTTGTGAAATTCCCTAAGTATTATGTATGTGTTTTTTTCTCTTAAATATTCTCTACCAAGTTTTGTTGCACAAAGTTGATTTAATGCTTCTAAAAGCATTAGCCTGAAATCATAATAATAATGTTGAAAATGATATTCTCATCAGATTTAATAAAATTACACTAATTAACCTATATTAACGTAATGTAACCTGATTTCTGGATTACGATCTCGTTGCTTTGTTTCAGGAAGATATTGTAATTCATTCGGCAATTTTGCAACATCTTTTGCTTCAAACTCTTCTGGACCAGCAAGAGGCAATAACAAACGTGGTAATATATGTACATCTGAATTTAGCAACCAGTCATGGCTGTCTGTTTCAAAAGTACAATTTTTTAAAGTACCAACAATACCACGTTGTCTAATTTCATCATAACACTGTATGTAGCGACAGAGACGGTGAATAATACGGTGTTGTGGATCCATCAGTTTCCTACAATAAGATATATAAATCTCTGAAATATAATCAAAATCCAAAAATCAAATAAATTGTACCTTCTTACACATGATGATTGGCTAAGATTATTAATAACAGATGCAAGATAATGCATTTCAGCATTGTTAGCATTATAATTCTTTGTTATAAGTGCAGATAATATCGTATTCCAGGTCCAACCGTTTTGTTCAATGGATTCAACTACTCGATCCACTAAATGATAAATTCTAGTTATATTGGAAAGTATCATACAACATTCATCCGCTATAAAACTAAATTTATTCAGTATAGACCTGTATAAAAGTAATTTCTAGATTAAGTAATGTCTAGATTATATACAAAGTCTCCATAGAGTAGCAGTAAATAAATATAAAATGATATTTACTTCATGCAAACTTCTACAATATTCATGTTAAATACATATTGTTGTTCCGGTATTAGCAACTTTGATAGATTCAGTATTGCCTCAGCTCCTGCTTCATCTCCAGTAATATTTACCAATGATAGTGCAGCTTTCTTGCGGTTTTGCTGAGATGCAGAATGGTATTGCATATATATAACAAGTAATTTTAATATTTCCGGACAATCCACCAGATCTACTCGACCGTCAGCATTTGACGTCAGACCTGTATACAGTTAAATGATTTCATAAGATTTTTACATATTCTACAAATACATATTATAAAGTAAGAAATAGTATATTAATGTTAGAAATTCTTATTCAATAAATAAAATTAAAACAAAATAAAGCTTATATGTGACAAACGCAAATATATTTGAGTATAAAAAAATCAATATAAATGATAAACGTAATAACAATTCAACAACATTCCTGTTCTAATAACTTGTTGTTATAACGATTATTGTTTAATTAGAGCAAATCTTAATATCATTTGTATAAATAATAAAATCATCTTGTTAGATAAAATGCACATTTTATTTATTTTTATATCTTAGAATCTTATATCATATCATTCGGTAGGCCTAGAACTTTCCCGCGATGCATTAAAATCTTATATTTCAGAATTCTAGACCATTTTTCTGTTTAAAATATTAAATTTTAATGCATTACGGTAAAGAAAATGTTATAACATTTGTTAGGTTAGGTTAAACCTGGAAAATGTATATTTTCTTTATTGCGATGTGCATTGAAATTTGATATTTTAAACAAAGAAAAATGATGCAATAAAATTCTAGATCTATCAAAGAACTACTGAACTAAAAATTATATAAGATTCTAAAGTATAATAATGAATAAAATGTATATTTTATTTATCAAACAAGATAATTTTATATTAATTAATTAATCATTTATATTAATTGGTTTTTTTATATCTAAATATCCGTGTTTGTTTCATATAAGTCTTAGTCAATTCATTTTATTATAATATGAAACATTTTACAAAATATACTTATATGTATAATTAAAATATACTTACTAAACACGTGTTTTACCGGAAATATTCGCAACTTTCGCTCAATAGGCTGAGAACTTTTACCGCATAAAGTAAGTCGACGTTCATTATCTTCCTCCATTGTTTACCTATGTATTTGATTCGAGAAATGTTAATTTTATTATACTTTTCAATAAACTCTAATTTCAAAAAAGCTTGGGATCAGATACACTCTACTCATAAACACACGGAAGCAATGTGGCCAGATTTGGCCCGGTTTTTCGCGCATGCGCGACGCGGCGAACGCAGTGAAGTGTCTAGTAAAAGAGTATACCATATGGTACCCGTTTATTTAAAAAATTATTTTCTGAAAAATCAATAA